AACATAGAGGTAAAGGGTCATTTTCCCCACATCATACCAAAGGTACTGTGGTTTTATATAACAAGGAATACATTTGGTCTTTGTCTCTGGTTCCTGTAAAAAGCTTCCAAAGCCCTTGGAATTTCCTGAGTGATGGAATTATCTTTGTTATTCATCCAGTTCAGTTCAGTTCAGTTCAGTCGCTCAGTTGTGTTCAACTCTTTGCTACCCCATGGACTGCAGCACACCAGGCTTCCCTGTCCATCACCAACTCCTGGAGTTTACTCAAACTAATGCCCATTGAATTGGTGATGCCATCCAACCATCTCATCCTCTGTCATCCCCTTGTCCTTCCACCTTCAATCTTTCCCAGCATCAGGGTCTTTTCAAATGAGTCAGCCCTTTGCATCAGGTAGCCAAAGTATTGGAGTTTCAGCTTCAGCATCAGTCCTTCCAATGAATATTCAGGACTGATTTCCTTTAGGATGGACTGGTTAGATCTCCTTGCTGTCCAAGGGACTCTCAAGAGTCATCTCCAACACCACAGTTCAAAAGCATCAANTTTGAAATTCCAGGTGGGTGAACTCATCCACATGCCAGGAAGGTGTCACATTCCAGTTTCATAGGAACAGAAGCTCTTGCACTTAGGACACTTCCAGACCTCACTCTGTGTATCTCTTCGTCTGACTGTTCATCTCTAGCCTTTCTAATAGCTTTTGTAATAAACTGAGACACATAAGTAAGTTTCCCAGGTGGCACTAGTGGTAAAGAAGCCACCTGTTAATGCAGGACACATGAGAGATGTGGGCTCAATCCCTGGTTCAGGAAGATCCCCTGGAGGAGGGCATGGCAACCTACTCTAGTATTCTTGCCTGGAGAATCCCATGGACAGAGGAGCCTGGCGGTCTACAGTCCACGGGGTCGCAAAGAGTCAGATACAACTGAAGCAACTTAGTACGCATGCATGGGACACATTAGTAAATGTGTGAGTTCCATGAGCCATTCTAACAGATGCTCAAATCCAAGTAGGGAGTTGTAACTTCTGATTTATAGTCAGTTGGTTAGGAACACAGGGGACAATTCGGACTCACAGATTGAGTGAAGTGGGGGCAGTCTTGTGAGTCTGAACCCCTAACCTGTGGGATTTGATGTTATCTCCAGGTAGACAGTGTCTGAATTGAGCAAAATGTGTAGAGCACCTAATCATAGTCTGCTGAGAACTGGAAAATGGCTTGGTGGTGTTGGAAAACGCACATCAGAACTCAAAGTGCATGCTATCAACTATCCTGGCTTTGTCCAACCTCAGCAACTTGTAAGACTGATAATGAAATAAATCATGATAAACCTAAAAAACAAATTCATGAGTAGAATACACATTCTTTTCAAGTTTCCAAACAACCAAGATAGATCACATCCTGGGCCATAAAACAGAGCTTAAAAATTTTAAAGACTCAAATTTAAAAAGAAATCATGCAATGTATGCCCTCAGACCACAATAGAATTTAGCCAGAAGTCATCAACAGAAACATAGTTGGAAAATCCTCAAATAATTAGAGATTAAACAATGCAATGTTAAGTAACTTGCACATTAGAAAGGATGTCTCAAGAGAAGCTAAAATATACTTTGAACTAAATGAAAACAGCAATACAGCAAAATTTGTGGGATTCATTGAAAGCAGTGCTTAAAATTTTATAACATTGAATTTATACATTAGAAATTAGAAAAAAACAAATACTTAAAAGTCAGTTTAGCTTTCACCCTAGGGGTAAAAAAACATATCAAAAGCAAAGTAAGCAGAAGAATGGGACCTCCCTGGTGGTCCAGTTGTTAAGAATCTGTCTACTAATGCAGGAGATACAGGTTTGATCCCTGGTTCAGGAAGATCCCACACACCATGGAGCAGCTCAACTTGTGTACCACAACTACTGAGCCCATGGGTCTGCGTGCCTGGAGCCTGTGCTCCACAGCAAGAGAAGCCTGCACAGCACAATGAAGACCCAGCGAAGCCAAATAAACAAATAGAATAAATTTTTTTTTAAAAAGAAGGAAGGTCAAACAGGAAAAGAAAAGGGGAAAACCTAGGCCGAATCAAGGTGGCGGAAGGCAAAAAACAAAAAAAAAATGGAAAACAAATACCCCCCAAATAAAAAAGAAATTTTAAAAAAAGGAATGACTCTGTCTGGCTTAAAAAAAAAAAAGAAAAAAAAACAAAAAAAACAAAACAAAACAGAGCAGAAATCAGTGAAATTGAAAACAAAATTAATAGACAAAATCAACAAAACTAAAAACTGACTCTTTTGAAAAGATTGACAAAATTGACAGCCAGGCAAACCTTATTAGTCTGCTCGTGTTGCCATACCAAACTAACACAGAGTGAGTGACCTAAAGAACAGAAATTTATTTTCTCCATTCAGGACAGAGTTTATTTTCTCAGAACTAAGAGGAAAGTTATTTTCTCTTAGTTCTGGAGGCCAAAAGTCCAAGACCAAGCTGCCATCAGAGCTGGCTTCTGGTGAGACTTCCCTTCCTGACTTGGAGATGACTTCCTCCTTGCTGTTTTCTCACAAGGTATTTCTTCCATGTGCTTGTGGAAAGTTATCTCTGGTGTCTCTTTCTCTTCTAATAAGAACACAGATCCTATCAGGTTAGGGCTCCACCTATATGACCTCATTTAATCTTAATTATCTCCCTAACAGCCCTATCTCTCAACACAGTCACTTTGGGGTCTAGAGCTTCAACATATAAATTTTGGGTACAGGGGGACACCATTCTGTCCATCAAAATTAAGAAACTAAAAAACAAACAAACAAACAAACAAAGACACAGATTACTAATTCAGAAATGAAGGAGAGATTATTCACTACTGACCCCATGTTCATTAAAAGGATCATAAAGGAATGTTAAGTCCAGGAATCAAGGTAAACTGAACATGGTCAAGCAGGAGATTGCAAGAGTGAACATCGGCATTTTAGGAATCAGTGAACTAAAATGGATGGAAATGGGTGAATTTAATTCAGATGACCATATATCTACTACTGAGGGCAAGAATCCCTTAGAAGAAATGGAGTAGCCTTCATAATCAACAAAAAACTCTAAAATGCAGTACCTGGGTGCAATCTCAGAAATGACAGAATGATCTTGGTTCGTTTCCAAGGCATTCAACATCATATTATCAACATCCAAGTAATCCAAGTAATGCCAAGTAATCCAAGTAATGCCAAGTTTCCAAGGCATTCAACATCATAGTAATCCAAGTCTATGCCCCACCATTAATGCCAAAGAAGCTGGAGCCGAAAGGTTCTATGAAGACTACAACACCTTCTAGAATTAACACCAAAAAAAAAAAAAAAAAGATGTCCTTTTCATCATAGTGGATTGGAATGCAAATGTAGACAGTCTAGAGACACCTGGAATAACAAGTAAGTTTCACTTTGGGGTACAAAATGAAGCAAGGCAAAGTCTAACAGAATTTTGTCAAGAGAACACACTGATCATAGCAAACACTCTCTTCCAACATCATAAGAGAAGACTTTACATATGGACATCACCAGATGGTCAATACCAAAATCAGATTGATTATATTCTTTGCAGCTAAGGATGGAGAAGCTCTATATAGACAGCAAAAACAAAACCTGAAGCTGACTGTGGCTCAGATTATCAGCTCCTTATTGCAAAATTCAGGCTTAACTTGAAGGATTTAAGGCCATTCAGGTATGACCTAGATCGAGTCCCTTATGATTATATCATGGAGGTTACAGGCATATTCAAGGGGTTAGATCTGGTAGATAGAGTGCCTGAAGAAACATGGAGAGGTTCGTAACATTGTACAGGACGTGGCGACCAAAACCATCCCCAAGAAAAAGAAATGCAACAAGGCAAAATGGTTGTCTGAGGGGACTTTACAAATAGCTGAGAAAAGAAAGAGAAAGGAAAGGCAAAGGAGAAAGGGAAAGATATATCCATCTGAATGCAGAGTTCCAGAGAATGGCAAGGAGAGATAAGAAAGCCTTCTTAAGTGAACAATGCAAAGAAATACAAGAAAACAACAGATTGGGAAAGACTAGAAATCAAGGTTTAGATTGCTGACCGAGAACTTGGGTTTTTAAGGAATTCCCAGGTGATGCTAACGTCACCGTTTTGCGAAGCACTGAATCTAAGCAACTTTAAATGTTAGTACACAAAGAACCCGTATATTAGATAATATCTTCATTATTCAAAGTGAATGTAGGTCCCGGGGAGCCTGCGGGATCAAGAGACCAGCCTACACCCACACAGGCACGTGTGGGTCTCATATTACAGACTTCTGAGGGCAGGCGGCACTTGGCCCTAGGCAGTCCCAGAGGTCTGGAGATCGCCCCCTAAAGAGGAAAAGCTCGCGGTGCCTCCAGGCCAATGTCAATGACTAGCCGCGAGATCCTCTCTCCTCCCCAGCCCGCCTCCTTCCCGCTCCTCCCTGCTGCCCCTGACCCGCCCTGCCGGATGCAGGACAGAAAACACTGTCCAGGAGGCTGTGCCGGTGCGTCACCGGCTGGCGCTGGGCCAATGACAGCCCGGGAGAGTGTCGTTTCTTTGGGCCGGGGAGGTGGGGGCCGGAACTTCCTGCGTTTCTGCCCAGCTAGTCATTTCCCCGGACTGGGTCGGTGCGCCCCGAGCCGTGGGTCTGGGGCTGGGGGTGGGGCTGGACGGGTACCGCTTCCCAGGCGGTTTTCGGGAACGGGAGGGGGAAGGACTGGGAGGCAAGGACCCTCCTCTGCGCCTTTGAACTAGCAGTGACCCCCCTGAACGCGGTGTCCGCCAGGGTCCCGCCGCGCCGCGCTCTCTCCGCGGCACACGGCCCTGGGCGCACTTGACCCCGAGGAGACTGAAGTCCCACTTCGCCCGGGGCCAGGCGCCGTGGCGCTACGCTGAGCTCGCGACACCCGCCTCTGTCACCCGCCTCCGAGGGCTCCTGCGTCCAGGGGCTGCGATGGCGGCGGCGGCGCTGATACCCGCCTCGGTCACCCGCCTCCGAGGGCTCCTGCGTCCAGGGGCTGCGATGGCGGCGGCGGCGCTGATGGACATGGCGCAGGTGAGTGGATGGGCTTCGGGCCCGCAGCTGCTCAGCCCTTCATTCTCACGTACCCGGACCCGGGGGATCAAAGATGGGCATTGCTCTACGACTTGACGTCTTTTTCATCTCTCTGCTTTTGAGTCTGGGGTACTGAGGGTTTGAGAGGGAGCGAGTGGTCACTCCCAGCCTTGGGTCCTGAATCCAGGGCAGGGATCATAGAGAGCGGGTCCCATTTCTGAACTCTAGTGGATGAGATGGGAAACGGTTTCCTAGGCAATAGGAAGCAGCCGTGGGCAAGTACAGGATGGAGCTGGGAGTGTTCAGAGAGCAGGTGGGCTGAAGTCATCCTGGAATGGCCGGCTGAGAAGCCGGGCGTCTCTTCTGAGAGTGTTGGGAACCACAGAAGCCAGAGCGGAGGGGGAAGGTGATGTGACTTACATCCTAACAGGATCACCTGGGTGCCAAGTGGAAAAACTGACTGTGGGCTGAGGGTGAAGGTGGGGAAGGCAACCAGTAGCTGCTGCAATACTGCTGGCCAGGTGAGGAGGGCAGATGATTGCAGGTAGAAGAAGCGATGGGGTTCTCGGTGGGTCTTCTAAGTGAGGCTGACCAGATTTTCTGAGGTGGAAACTGAGAAAGAAAAGCAGCGAGTCGATGGATTTGGTGTTAGCAGCTGGAAGGATGGATGAACCATCAACTGAGAAGGGAAATTGTTTGTAGGAGGAATTTCGATTGGAAATACCAGAAGTTACACTGGGGCCATGTTCTGATGTTCCAGGGACCCCTGAGCGGAGTTGAAGCTTGAGCAGCTAGACACACAGTTATGGTGTTTGGGGGAAGCTTAGTTTAGGTTAAGAGACACTGAATATATAAAGGGACATTGGCAGACTATACGTAAAATAGAACTGTGACCCACAACCTGCAGCAACCTGCCCAGGAAACAAACCCCCTTATCTACAATAAACAACCCAGGAAGCCATTCTGCTGTAAGTTAGACTTGCAGGAACCCAGATTGCTATCTCTAGTGACAATCCAGGAAGTTAAACAATAATTTCTATAACAGTTGGCCTCAAATAACCAGGACTTAATAACTGACAACTGCTCTGTTTTTGTTCCAACTTAAGACCAGCCAGAAATAGCCAAATATGCACCTCTAGCTGATCACCTAGGATGCTCTGCTTCTAGTTAGCTTGCCTACAGCTTTCCCAGGCCAACAGGGCATACCTGAAGCCTTCCATTTTTTTCCCCACTTATAAAGCTTTCCCATTCCTCTGCCTGCCTTTGAGTCTCTGCCAACATATGTGGTTGGGAGATGGGGATTGACACATATGCACTATTGATACTATGTATAAAACTGACAACTAATGAGAACCTACTGTATAGCATAGGAACTCTACTCAGTGCTCTGTAGTGACCTAAACGGAAAGGAAATCCAAATAAGAGGGGATATATGTATACATATAGCTGATTTACTTTGTGGTATGGTAGACACTAAACAATGTAAAGCAACTATATGCCAATAAAGTTATTTTTAATAAAAATATTTTAAAATAAAGGGAACACACATGAATTAAAAAAACAAAACTTAAGTGGCTAACTCCCTTTCTGTAACAAACTCAGAATAAATATCCTTTTGCTTTTCTCGTTTGGTTAGTCTTTGTTTATTTTCACAGTAAGAAACACCAGGGACTTCCCTGGCAGTCCAGTGCTTAGGATTCCAGGCTTTCACTGCAGGGGCTTGGGTTCAATCCCTGGTCCGGGAACTAAGATCCCATAAGCTGCACAAGCTTAGTCGCTCAGTCGTGTCTGACTCTTTTGTGACCCCCATGGACCGTAGCCCGCCAGACTCCTCTGTCCACGGGACTTTTTCCAGGCAAGAATACTGGGGTGGGTTGCCATTTCCTCCTCCAGGGGATCTTCCCAGTCCAGAGACTGAACCCATGTCTCCTGTGTCTCCTGCATTGCAGCCTAATTCTTTACTGCTGAGCCATTGGCGAAACCCGTGTGACCAAAAAAAAAAAAAGAAAAAAAAGAGAAACATCCAAAATGTGGCATCTGGTGTGTGGACAAGGGTGTAACTGTGTGTCTGATTCAGGAGGGTGGCAGTGACCTTAGAAGGAAGGAGGAAGGAAAGTGGAGCCCGAGAACTGGGCATCTTGCTTTGGTACTTTGGCCGGCTTGTTTGGCATCATAGAGACAGATGAGGGAGAGTTAGTGTTTGTGGTAGTAGCTGGGTGGGGGGAGGGGATCTGTGTGTAGGGAAAAGTGTGTCTGGCAGCTGGCCAAATTTTCCTGGGGGGATAGGTATGAAAGGAGGTCTGAGGCTTAGTAGTGATGGAAATAGTTTTTCAGTGAGGCGTGGACTGGTGCTCATTCAGCCATCTGCATTCTCACCAGGCCTTTGTGGACCCCGAGGAAGCTCTGGGATTTTCAGTCAGTCTGGAGAACCAAGGGGCAAATGAGGCAAGCTGGGAGAGCTATTAGACTCTGGTGGGTGGGGGCAGGAGGACCAGAGAGGTTGGCTTTGAATGAGTGATTGATGAAGGGACAGAATGTGCCTTACAGAGAAGCAAGGGGTCTGCTGTAGTCCTGGGTAGGTTGGATTGAAGCCAGGATCATGGCCAGGTCCGGAGGCCTTCACCTCAAGGGTGGATGTTGCCCTTGGCAGTGGGAGTCATTGAAGGTCTGGGGCAGGCAGGGTGGGATCATGGTTGTATTTGCCTAGAATTCTCTGGATGCTGTCGGGGAGGGGGAAATTTCTCCCTCTACCTCTTGTTTGAGTTCTTGTGGGTGCACTAATAAATAATTAAACTAATAAAAAATTAGCATAAGACACGTTAACAGGAGAAAAATACATTTTAATGTAAATGAAGTCAGAAATGGGACCTAAAAAGTGGCCAAAGTCAGCATCTTTTACTCATTAGACAAACGATACCTTTGTGAGTAATCAACTGGACAAAGAAACTTAGATTTTGGGTGCCCAATTAGTGAAGAATCTAAACCGTTTGGGCTCCAGGTTGTAAATTAAAGAAGTAACAAGGTTTATTTATATAGGTTTCTTGGTCCAAATTCCCTCCCTTTGGCAATAAGGGTGTGCTTTACCTCCAGATACAGGGAGTGCGCTTTTAAATAGTTTTCTTTTTCTTTTTTAAAATATCGGCCCAAAGTATATTATATATATATATATATTTTTTAACTTTTGGCCAAGCCGGAAAAGGGGGAACCTAAGTCCCCGAACAAGGGGCAAAACCGGGCCCCCAACAAGGGAAAGTGCAGAGTCTTAACCATTGGACCTCCAGGGAGTGCACTTTCTACGCAGAAATTTATTTCCTGTTTTCAGGGAGACAGATATGTGGGTCACAGTGTCCCTCTTGCGTTGACTGTTTCTTTAGTAACTTTAATTCAAAATAATCCATAGGCCGTTGATGCACATTTTGGGGAGGCCTATGCTAGGCCCCAGTAGTTCTCTCCTCTGGAACGTCCTCTGTGGAAAGAGACCAGGTAAGAGGAGTCTTCCAGCTTATTGAGGGCTTCCCAGGTGGTGCTAATGTTAAAGAATCCACCTGCCAATGCAGGAGACACAAGAGAGGTGGGTTCAGTTGCTGGCTGGGGAAGAGCCACTGGAATAGAAAATGGCACTCCACACCAGTATTCTTGCCTTGAGAATTCCATGGACAGAGGAGCCTGGCAGGCTACAGCCCATGGGATCACAAAGAGCTGGACACGACTGAGCATCTGAGCACCAGTTCATTGAAGCAATTGTTAGTTCTGAAAAGAGGTCAGTTCAGGAGAACAATTATACCTCATTTCAGGAGGCAGTGATGCAGATGGGCTCCAGAAGCTAGGCATGTGGTACAAGCAATCAGGTAGTTAATGAGACATTTCTAGGAAAACAAAAGAAAACAAAAGGGTTAATGTTTGGAGCCAGTTATAAACCAGTTTCTGACATTAGGATGCAGTCAAGAAGATTTCAAGGTGTCAGGGTTGAAGCATCTTTTGCAGTTTGAAATGTCTCTGATGTCACCAGGTGTTCAAGAAAACTTTCTAAGTGGCTCATACAGCAGCAAGCATGAGGATTGTTTAAATATGAGCTGTTGTGGCAGTTTCTCTGAAATTTGTATCAAGTCGTCTAGCTTCAATTTTCAAGGCATCAGGGAAAGGGCAATTTTAGTTCTCAATGATTCCAAGTCAAAAGGGTGGGAGAAAATTGGAAACATTAAAGAGTTGTAGCTAGATATTGGAGGAAATTAGAACACTTCAGGATCTAGTCCAGATTTCAGGTAAACAACAAAACCTCAATGAAACTAACAGTACTAGAATCATGCATACAAGGGTTCAGTTTAGAATCAGGGTTTAATCCCTGGTCAGGGAACTAAGATCCTGCAAGCTATGGTGCAGTTAAAAAGGAAAATAATGAAATAAAGTCAAGTTCTTTCAAATTGTTTGGTCGTATCTGAGTCTGTGTGTGTCTCTCTCAAATATGACTTTCCAGTCAAAAGCCTGGATAAGATAACCAATATTTCTAATTGTGTTCGATTTTAAGGAGAACAGATTTTTACTGAACTTTTCCAAATGTAACTATATTGTTAAGAAAATAAGAATACTCATGAGAGTTTCTGAATTCTGGAGCACTCAGGTGGGAAGGAAAAAAATGAATGTTTCATTTTTGCTTAGAAAGGTATGCTGTGCTGTGTTTAGTCACTTAGCTGTGTCAGACTCTTTGCGACCCTGTGGACTATAGCCGGCCAGGCTTCTCTTTCTATGGGTATTCTCCTGGCAAGAATACTGGAGTGGGTTGCCATTTCCTTTTTCAGGGGATCTTCCCAACCCAGGGATTGAACCCTGGTCTCCCACCTTGCAGGAGGGTTCTTTACCATCTGAACCACTAGGGAAGCCCAAGAATACTGGAGTGGGTAGCCTATCCCTTCTCCAGGGGAACTTTCAGACCCAGGAATGGAACCAGGATCTCCTGCATTGCAGGCGGATTCTTTACCAGCTGAGCTACCAAGGAAGTCCAATTCACCAAACTGCTGTAAATCTTTTAAAAAGAATTCCTTGCATTTGGAAAACAAAAGATTTAAAAATCAGTAATATTGTATTTTAAACAAAAAGTCATAAAAACTATAATTGTATTCATCAGTTCATTCAATTACACGTAATTAATTCTTTGAGTCCAGTTCTTCCATTAGTTCTGTTGACTTTGCCTGATGATTAAGCATGAGGGTAACAGTGATATTCCAAGGAGTTTGTGAAATTTTTGTTAAGGCTTGAATGATTTGCCCAGTGAGGTGGGTGCCTTGATCACTGGAGATTATGGAAGGTATACCCCAAATAGAAAACACTTAAAAAAAAATAGTTTCTTTGTCCCTGTGATGTCATCAGTCTTGTAGCAAGGGAAGGCTTCAACCCATCTGGAAAGCATACATGTAATAATAAGAACATTCTGATAAACCTTACTTAGTGGCAGTTGAATGATGTCCAGCTGCAGGTGCTCAAAGGGTCCAGAGAGAAGAGGTCTGAGTCATCTGGGGCAAAAATAGTTTTTCCCAGGGTTATGGACCTCAAAGGTCAGACATCACTGATAGGCTGTTTTTTTTCTGTTTTATAGAGATCTCCCTGCCAATGTTTATTTAAATGCACGTTAAATGCACGATGGTGAGTGAAGGAATGCAGGGGGGAAAATGAGATTTACTGGGAGCTGGGGAGAACTAAGTAGCCATCTTGGTTTTCCCATAGCCCTGACTGTTTAGTTTGCAACTATTGTTTACCTATTTTAATTTCTGTTATTCAGTAGCATACTGTTGTCTTGGTACAAGGATATCAAGATGGCAAAAGTCTGGCAAGAAGGGGTCAGGATTTTTGCAGAAGCAGAATGGATTTTGTTCACAGGTGCAACAGTCTTTATAAATTCTGTTGCTGCTACCTTTGCTTGAAGGTCAGCTAGGGCATTTCTCTGGTACTTCAGTTCAATTCCTTTAGTCTGAGCCTCCATTTTGATGACATAACATTTTATGCCAGGACATACATGACTTCAGGAATTTCACCTAATTTCTGGAACACTTAGAACACATACCTATATAGACACAACATAAAGAAGGTGACAACAGTTTCCACATAATTTAACATATCAAATATGGCTAATTAGTTTAGTATCTTTTTATAAGGAGAAAGAATAAATCTTTGAGGCATTTTAGAGGGCTCCCGAACCATCTCATCTCTCAAAGTTCTAAATCGAAAAGATTTCATTTACACTTTGATTTGAGGGAAGTTTGTCAAAAATATTTTAAAAAATTCAATTTAGTCAAATAGATCTTCGCAGCAATGTTTCGTTATCCATTCAATGAAACTAACAATTAAAACCTTAGGCAAATATGGACAGTTATGTAGTTCTGAGCAAAATTTAGCTCTTTTAACAGCAATAGGACTAGATTTACTTAATGAATCAAAGAACTGATAAAGACAACAGAATGTAAGTAATTATTTTGACAAGATAGAAGATCTTTGTTTTTTCCTAAGTATATTATTTAAAGGTAAAGAAAAGCCTTTCATAATCTCTTAGTATCAAGAGCAGACCAGTAGGAAAACAAAGTTTTGTTCTTTTAATAGGGAGAAAACCAAATTCCAATTTTTAGTACTTTACTTTGGTATTAAAACTTATTTGCTTAACTAAATCCATTCCAATCTTATTCAATCATGACCACATATAAAATTCCTGTCTAAAGACTACTTTATTCACAATCTTACAGAATTTCATTTTAGTTTATCCCTTGTTTTCTTTCCCATTTAGAACTAACTAGGTTTAGGACAAAATTACTTTCATTTTCCTTAACAAAAACATCTCCACACCTTATTTTTTCTCATCCCAAAACAATTCTATTATTGTATCTGGCAACTTTAACCACATATATTAATTGGAATCCTTAATCCTTTGAAATTTTAATTTTTTAGTGAAAATAAAGAAGTAAACAGTTGTAAACTTTATTAACATTTTGTGGCTTGGCAAATTTATAAGTACATTGTATAATTTCTAGAAACATATGCTATTTCATAGTACAGTCTTTCAATGAAGCACAAGATATATTCACTAGAGCCAAACATACTTAATCTTTCTGTAATAAGAGGCCAAAAGTACATATAAACTTAGACTTTAGCAATTAATGTTTCAGTACTTTATATTACTTGGAAATGATCTAGGCGTCCAACAAATTCCCATCATTTAATTTAACATAGCAAAACATAGGGTATGACTTACCAAATGGATTTATGAAGTTATTTAAGTGGACATAACGTAACACAATTATTGTTTTAAAATCTACCTAAAAACTCATCACATTTACATCTATTTTATATATTTATTTATTTTTCCTCCAAAGTTGCATGGTTTATAGGATCTTAGTTCCCTGATCAAGGATTGAGCCTGGGGCCATGGCAGTGAAAGCAACAAATCTTAATGACTGGACCACCAGGGAATTCCCTAATTTATTTGTTTTTAATAATAATACTTAGAATACTCATAAAAATCTCATGAGACTTTAAAATAATCATTATTCTAAGTTTGTTTGTTTGGTGACAAACTTTGCAACAGAGACAAAATGAGCCCACTTGACTAATAAACCCAGGTAGAACAAAAGTTATTTATCTACATTATTTTTAATGTTAAATCTGAGATATACCTGTATTAATTTAACCAACAAGTTTAAAAGTAGCTCTTATTTACTAAAGATTATCCTAGATATATGAACTTGAAAAATATTTGGGTTGTTTTTTTATTACATATTTGAGAATTTTTATATAAGTGCTTATTTTTATAAGCCAATTAAATAGAGGTCTTTTACAAATTAATTTTGGCAGTGCCATCTGGAGGTAGCATACACATATGGACTTACAGACAGACACAACCAGAGATCTCATAGTCCTCATTTTAAAACTTTAATCATGAATCAAGTACAACATAAAACTTAACGCATGTGTGCTCAGTCTATCAGTCGTGTCTGACTCTTTGCAACTCCACAGACTGGGGCCTGCCAGGTTCACTCTGTCCATGGAATTTTCCAGGCAAGAATACTGAAAAGGGTTACCATTTCTTACTCCAGGGGATCGTCTCAATCCAGGGATTGAACCCGAGAGACTCTTGAGTCTCCTGCTTGGCAGGTGAATTCTTTACCACTGCACCACCGGAGAAGCATATAGTTTATAAGTAACAGTTGGAATAAGTTAGATTATTTGCTCGGATTTTGTTCTTTGAGGAGAAGACAAATAAGATGTGTATTTGCCCTTGGCAAACTATTTTAAGGAGGCTGTGACTTAGAGTTTCAGCCAGAGAGGTTTTTTAGCAGTTGGTGTTTTAAAAAGTCTCTCTCTCTCTCTCTTTTTTCAATTTCAGGTTCTACTGATTGAGCTAATCCAGGCTCAGGTTCAGTGGGCTGTGTTTACATTCAAAAAACATGATAAGGTTTATAACTTGAAGAAACAGAAAAAGAAAATATGCTTTCTCCTAGGAGTTTTGGAGTATCTTTGTCTATTATCATATGCTTTAGGGTAATTATTAGGGGCCCTGCATTTCAGACAGAACTCAACTGGTTTCTGTCTGCCTACCTGCTGTGGGCATTGCTGTGGGCTGACACAGCAGTCATAGCAGGCGTGGAACCGGGGTCTGAGATCTCCCCTGTGTTGGGGAGCTGGGGAGGAGGGTGAACAGTGAACAGAGAGGGAGTCCTGAGGAAAGAAGCTGATCATGGAATGAACTGTCCCCATCATCATGACAGGGCTGTGTGACCTTTGAGGACGTGACCATTTACTTCTCCCAGGAGGAGTGGGGACTCCTTGATAAGGCTCAGAGACTCCTGTACTGTGATGTGATGCTGGAGAACTTTGCACTGATTGCCTCACTTGGTAAGGCTTTTACACCCACCCAGGTGTCCTGAGCTCATCTCTGCCCATTCCCTTTTCCCAAGAGGTGGTTCTTTCCTTCCCACAGCTGGGCTGTGGGCACTGCTTCCTCACCTCCCCTCGTCTGTTTTTTGGGCTGTGCTGGGTCTTCATTGAAATGTGCAGGCTTCTCTAGTTGCAGTGAGTGGGTTTCTCTAGTTGTGGTGTACAGGTTTAGTTGCCCTGCAGCATGTGGGATCTTAGTTCCCTGACCAAGGATTGAACCCAAGTCCCCTGCATTGGGAAGTAGATTCTTAACCACTGGACCACCAGGGAAGTCCCCCCACCTCTTCAGGTATATGTGCTGTGGGTCCAGAGCTGAGCTGTGTGCAGGGTCCCATGCTCTTCCCAAGCAGCCTCAACACCTACTGTCTCGAAGCCTTGTGGGGAAGGGTCCCAGAAGGAGGAGTCTTGCAGTCAGCCCAGCAGATCCCGTCTGACTCAGCCACTGATCTCCTGGGTGATGTTTAGATCTCTGACAGTTTGTTTGGCTCCTTTGCTTTAGCTAACATTCCCTAAGGCCTGACTGCCAGAAATTCTAGGCACTGATGTGGTCACTGTTTGCCATGACCACTGGGATATTCCTGCCAGATCTCCCTGTGTGTTCCTTTTGTAATTATGTTTCCTTTCCTATGTTCTATTGTGGGATAATTCACCTGGGCAAGTGCTGGTCCCTTACCTGCCCCATCTTCCCCTTAGGACTTACATCTTTCAGGTCTCACATAGTTGCCCAGCTGGAGATGGGGGCAGAGCCCTGGGTGCCTGACCAAGTGGACATGACTTCATCCATGGCAAGAGGGGTGTATAGAGGGCCTGACTCAGGTAAGTGGGGGGTGGGGGAGCATGTGACATCACTACTGTCTTCAAATCATACCTGCCACTTTTCTTATGTTCATCATTCTTTTGGTGCCAAGCCAATGGACTTATATCTCTTCTACCTTTCTTTTCCTATTTTTGGTATGTTGACCACTGGTCATTTATTCTCTGATTGGGGCCTCTGTCTGTGCCCCTCACTGTTTCCACAGCTCCCTCTGCAGCACTCTTCAGCATGGGCCTGCACTTCATGTGTCATGAGATGTGCACATTTCCTCTGATAGTCCTTGAACACCAGTTAAACAGTTGCAATCAGGTTTTCCCAGATCTGGACATACCCTTCTGCACAGCTCTCACAGGTTATCAGCAGCTGGAGTCCCCAAGAAAAGCTTTGTTGAGAACGGAGCTGAAGACTTGCCTTTCCATCTGATACTGTGCCCATCTTTGTGTCCTGGCTTCTGTATGGCCTCCCTTATTTCATGACCTTACCAGGCACAGGACTCCTGGGAAGACCATTCCTTATCTTGACCTTAGGCCTCTCATCTTGCCAACAGTCCCATGGACTCATTCCTGGGTCAGACTTGCATTTGTGATTGGATTGTTTCCTTCCATGAAAATTAACATGAATATCACCAGCATTTCTCTACTTTCAGATTTTTACTGTGGAACAGAGGGTGAGAAATCACCTGCTGAACTCAGTGTTTCTGTAGAAGTGTCACAGAGCATGAATCCCAAGGCAGTTCCATCCACCCAGAAGGGCTACCCCTGTAACCTGTGCGGCCTACACTTGAAAAACATTCTGCATCTGGCTGAACATCAGGCAACACGTTCCAAGCAGAAACCACACATGCATGAGGCACATAGGAAAGAGTTCAAGTTCAACGCCCACTTTCACCAGTCACAGATGCAGCAGAATGTGTACAAGTCTATTGGAAGGAATGAAGGCAGGGCCTTGCTTGTGAAGAGCTGCGGATATGACACATCAAAGAAATCTTTTGCATTCAGGGAGGATGGGAAGGCCTTTGTGGCCAGATGTGGTTTTCTCCAGCATCAGGTCACTACCAGTGTGGGGGAGCCAGAGAAGAGCTCTGAAAGTGTGGTGGATTTTTCCACTGTGCAACTCCATAAGAAGTACAGTGAATTTGAGAATGCTCTCAGTGACAAACTTTCACTTGTTCAGCAGAGAACCCACACTGGAGAAAGGCCTTATGAGTGCAACAAATGTGGGATATTCTTCAGCTATGCTGCTGGCCTCTTTCAACACCAGAGAGATCATAATCGAGGAAAGCCTTATGAGTGTGGTGAATGTGGGAAATTCTTCAGCCAGCACTCCAGTCTCATCAAACATCAGAGAGTTCACACTGGTGAAAGCCCTCACGTGTGCAGCGAGTGTGGCAAATTCTTTAGTCGAAGTTCTAATCTTATTCAACATAAGAGGGTTCACACTGGAGAAAAGCCTTATGAGTGCAGTGAGTGTGGGAAGTTCTTCAGCCAACGCTCCAACCTCATTCATCATAAGAGGGTTCATACTGGTAAAAGTGCTCATGAATGCAGTGAGTGTGGGAAATCCTTCAACTGCAACTCCAGCCTAATTAAACACTGGAGAGTTCACACTGGAGAAAAACCTTACAAATGCAATGAATGTGGGAAATTCTTTAGCCACTTTGATGGACTTGTTCAACATCAGATAGTTCATACAGGTGAACGACCGTATGGATGCAGCGTATGTGGGAAAGCCTTCAGCCGAAGCTCTGACCTCATGAAACATCAGCGAGTCCACACTGGTGAAAGGCCTTATGAGTGCAGTGAATGTGGGAAATTGTTTAGCCAAAGCTCCAGCCTCAATAGCCATCGGAGACTTCACACGGGTGAAAGGCCTTATCAGTGCCCTGAATGTGGGAAATTCTTTAGCCAACGCTCCAGCTTTAATAACCATCGAAGACTTCACACTGGTGAGCGGCCTTATGAGTGCCTTGAATGTGGGAAAACCTTCAGACAAAGTTCTAATCTGAGGCAGCATCAGAAAGTTCACAAACCAGATAAGCCATATAAGTGCAATGAATGTGAAAAAGCCTTCAGCCAAAAGTCTACTCTCATCCGACATCAGAAAATTCACACTAGAGAAAAGAGTACAGAGGGTGTTCTCCCTTCTTCTTCAGCACAACAGCACCTCCTAGAGATGAACTCTGAGAGTAGTCTTTATGAAGTAGCTGTCAGTCAGAAGTTGAGCATTGTTCATCCAAATGTCTATGCTGGAGAGATTCCCAATGGATGCTAAATAAATTGGAAGCTTTCTGGAGCAAGGCTACATATTCTGATCCCAAACTTTGTCAGAGTTTTTGTCACTGCTAGTGTCTGTGGTAGAAGTCATCTCAGTTCTACCCACTGACAGTTCTCCAGAGTGTGTGCCAGCCACTTCCTGTTCTCAGGGAAGACAGGCCTCTGTTTCCTCTTTCAAGAGGGAATTGTGAGTAGCTTGAGGCCATAGGAAGATGTCTTCCCTCCCGCTGTGACTTCTTTAGTTGTGATCATGACCCATCTTTGCCATGAAGACCTGATCTGGGTCCTACTGGCAGCTTGCAGAGGTTTCCCTTTTCCAAGACATTGTTGATCTTGTATGATGCTCATGATGGATTCATCCAGCTTCCACATTATCCATCCTTGACTTTACATCGCTCTGGTTTGGGTGATAAGGGCCTTATTGATAAAGTCACCTTTTATCTCCTGTATGCTGATAAATGTGTGGAGTGGGTTGAGAACAGAATGAAGGTCTTCCAAACCAAACAGGTCTCCAAATTTATTGCCTCAGTGAAGAGCAGGATGGCAGAGAACAATTCTCAGTCCAGAGTTGGCCTCATTTGTGTTGCTACCTGAGGTCTCCTAGGGGAGATTGTAGGGCTTGGTGGGCCTAATGTTGTGACTTGAAGGGCATGAATTTTTGTAGATCAGAGGTTACTTTGAGGAAGGGGAGGTTGTGCAACCTCCAGTGCATCTGGAAGCAGCCTGATTTAGGCCCCTTTTTTTCCCCTGAAGATGCCTCCTATTCCTTAGCGCTGTTGAGTAAACATTGTTTACCTGGTCTCTGCCAAGGAGTCATATGCCTTTGATGTCTAAAATCCAGTATATGTCACCTACTGTAAGACTTACTGGGTCCAATTGGCAGATTAGAGGGAATGTATCTGTTATAAAAGTGCATCCAAAATTCCCTTAAAGGTAACTATGCAGGATTCAGGACTTGCAGAAATTCTCAAGACCTCCAGACCTCTGTCTTATGACTAAGGCCACTGGCAGAGGAAATCAGCTAAAGGTTTTGTGGATTATTATAGGCTGTCTGCATTATTCATGTCAAAACTAGTGTTGTGTTGCAGAGAAATGGGGACTAAGAGAAGGTAGATCTTGTAAGCCAGGGAGGAGGCATTTGTGACACAGCCAACCATTTTTGGTGCCAACACATGAGGAGAGAGGGAGTAGAGTCAACATGGGGATGCCAAATCTTAAATTTTCTAAAAAAATAAAAAATAAATAAATAAAATGAGTGGGAGAGCAGATTTTTACTTGCAACAGTTTCTTTTAATGCTTGTTGAGATAATTTCCATGCAATAATTGGCTGTACATATTTAATGTGTACACTTTGATAAGTTTTAAAATATGTGTACACTCAGGGAACCAACACCACAACCATAATAATGAACCCATCCTTCATCCACACGGCTACCTCATGCCCCTTGACAATCCCTCCTTGCCTTCCCCAGAGAACTGTTATCTACAGCCCAAGGAATCTACTGATTTACGTTTTATTCACTGTGAATTTGTTTGCCTTTCCTAGAATTTTGTACAATGGGAAACATAAAGTATTTATACTCTGTTTTTGGTCTGTTTTCTTTCCTACAGCATAATCATCTTGAGACTCATCCGTTCTGTGTATATGAAGAGTTCATTCCTTTTACTGCTAAGTAATCCTCTCCTGGGACCTTCCCAGATGGCAGAGTTGGTAAAGAATCCACCTCCAATGCAAGAGATGTGGATTTGATCCCAGGGTCAGGAAGATCCCCTAGAGTAGGAAAAAGCAACCCACTCCAGTATTCTTGCCTGGAAAATTGTATGGATAGTGGAGCCTGGCAGCCTGCAATCCATGGGGTCGCAAAGACTTGTATGTGACTGAGTACACACACACACACACACACACAGTTCTCTGATGAATGAATACCTTAACTTTTGGTTTTTTAATTTAAAATATCTCATAAAATATACAACATAAAATTTCTTATCTTAAGCACTGTTAGGTGTACAGTTTAATGGTATTAAGTATAGTCATGTTGTGTAACTATCACTACTATTCATCTCCAGAATTCTTTTCATTTTGCAAAACTGAAACTGTATTCATTAAACAATAACTTCTTATTCTGCCCCAAGCCCCTAAAAACTAATATCTAACTTTCTGTAATGGAATTTGACTACTCTAGTTACCTCATATAAATGTAGCTATATATTATCTGTCATTTTGTGACTGGCTTATTTCATTTAGCATAATGTCCTCAAGGTTTATCCATGTTATAGCATGTGTCAGAATTACTTTTCTTTTAAACTGAATAATATACCATTGTATGTATATGTCATATTTTGCTTATTCATTCATCCTTTAATAGATACTTGATTTGTTTCCACCTTTTGGTTGTTGCAACTAATGCTGCTATGAATGTGGGTGTACAAATATCTCTTTGAAACCTGCTTTCTATTGTATACCTGAAAGTGGAATTACTGGATCATATAGTAATTATATTTTTAATCTTTTGAGGAATCTCCATAATGTTTCCCACAGTGTCTATACTATTTTACATTTTCAACAAGGGTTCTAATTTTTCCACATCTCTACTAACACTTGTTTTTTCTGTTTCTGTTTTTTCTTTTTAAATAATATCTATCCTGATGAGAACGAGGTGGTATCTCATTGTCATTTTGATTTGTATTTCTGTTAATGATTCATGTGCTTCTAGGTCATTTGTATATCTTCTTTAGAAAAATGTCATTTCAAGTCCTTTCCACTTTTTGAATAGGATTGTTTGTGTTTTGTTACTGAGTTTTAGGAGGTCTCTATGATGCTAAAACTATTAATTTATTAGGTGTGTGATTTGCATATAATTTCTCCCATTCTGTGGGTTACCTTATTACTCAGTTGATAGTGTCCTTTAATGTGCAAAAGTTTTTAATTCTCATGAGATTCAGTTGTCTTTTTGTTGTTGTTTTGTTGTTGCCTGTGCCTTTGGTGTCATATCCAGGAAATCATTGCCAAATTAAATGTTATGAAACTTTTGCCCCATGTTTCCTTCCAAGAGTTTTATAGTTTTGGGTCGTACTTACATTCAGGTCTTTGATCAACTTTGAGTTAATTTTTGTGTACGGTGTTAGGTAAGGGTCCAGCTTCATTCGTCTCTGTTTTGACTGTGATTTCTTTTTCTTTTTGGCTGCGCTCATCTTTGTTGTGATGCTAGGGCTTTCTCTTCTTGCATTGCATGGGCTCTAGAGGGTGTGGGTTCAGTGGTTTTGGTCCAGAGGTTTGTGGGATCTTAATTCCTCTACTAGGGAATTGAATCCGAGCCCTCAGCAGTGAGAGCTTGGAGTCTTCACCACTCGACCACAAGGGAATTCCCAAAAGCAGTTCACTTTGGTCATCAAAGGGCAATCTTTCACCCTGGTAAATGACATAGATGAAAGATCAAAGGCTAAGATTATATTTAACGGTAAAGAACAATATGTTTTCTTCCTAAGATTAGACAAGAGCCAAGATGTCCATGTTCATCCCTTCTATTCTACATTATACTAAATGCCCTAGGAAATGCAATAAGAGAAGGAAATTCAGACTAGACAGGAAGTAGTAAAAGTATCTTTATTCACAAATGACATGGTTTTGTATGCAGAAAATTCTAAGTCTAAAAAATCTATTAGAACTCTAATGATATCTCTATGATATCATAGGAAAGAAAGTCAATATGCAGGAAAATTATATATATAATTTTCCAGTTATTCAGCAATAGAATTTATCATAATGAAAAGTATGACATACTAGAATATTCCTTATTTTAACAGATATATTGATTGCATACACTGTGATAATTATTGAATAAGTGGTAGGGATAAAGAAGTGAACTATCAAATTCTGGCTTTTAATCCTGGTTTCCTGTAGGCATTATTTTTCTAATTAATTTTGTTATTTTAAAATTAGTGTTCCAATTACAGTTATTTCTTCATAGCAAAAGTTCTGAAACATAGGTATCTTTTTATTATTCTTTCCTGAATAGGCTACAATTTCAAAATTTATTGTATATTGTATTTATTGTATTGTATTACAATACTATTTATTGTATTGTAATACAATGAATACAATTTCAAATTTATACATACATACATGTGATCCCTTCCCAAATAGAGATGTTAAAAATATCCCTATTCAGATCACTAGTTACAAAACAGGAACTGTATGATAGAAAACTCCAGCAGTGACTACCTCTACCAATTCCAATTAGTATTACTAACTACTATCAGTAATTTAGCAATTAGTATTGCTAATTATGGAAAACTCTGATATTAAGCTTTTGCAGATATATGCAGTATTACCTTGGAAGTGTTTTTCAGAATCCAGTGAAATCTTTTTAACTTACAATATAGAAAAAACCTGGAGTTGAGGAACAAGTTAAATGACAGTGTGAGGAAGCAAATATAGAAAGTGGGGCATTTGGTAAACAACTTCCTTCAAGAAAAAGGTGGGGTTTAAGTGCAAAAGATTAATATTCAGGGGCAAAGTCTACAGCTTCCTCTTACATGCAGAAATAACTACATACAAATAGAAAAGGAGATAGAAATAAAATGTTACCAACAATGTTAGCAATTTCACTATTCCTTCTACTTTTCTCTATGTTGAAATTTTCATTTAAAAAAAGTTGCAAAAGAAATTTCCAAGAGGACAGTTTAGTTTTCCTTTGTACTATTAATTTCCATCATATCCTAAATTTTGAGCAAAGAATGCAGACTATAAGCTATTCTCAACAACTTTACACACATTAAAAGACTGGGTGTCTTTCATGAATTGTTTGATTCAACCTAAGAGGTGAGTTCTAAATTAATGTTGTCTCATGTTTCTTTCTTTCTACAAAGTATTATCCAGGAAGATTTATCTAACATTCTAAAATGGATGCATGGAGGGACAGGCATTTCTAAATTAATTACACCTGTAGGGTTTTACTCTCAAAATTTCACTACCAGTTAAAAACTACAATAATAATAAAACTAATAAATATTGAAAATAGGTTTTTACAAGTATGTAAATTCTATTATCATCACCATCTTAAAACAATGCCCTGAGATGAAAAATATGGTGCCTGGTATCAAACAGGTTGTTAGATGTAGAATGACAATGATGAGTGTTAATATGTGTGACATGGCTAAAGGCTTTCTATTATGTATCATACTCAGTTCAGTTCAGTTCAGTCACTCAGTTGTGTCCAACTGTTTGTGACCCCAAGGACTGCAGCATGCCAGGCTTCTCTGTCCATCACCAGCTCCCAGAGTTTACTCAAATTCATGTCCGTTGAGTCGATGATGCCATCCAACCATCTCATCCTCTGTCATCCTTTCTNACATGTTTTACATTCAATTTCACATCAGTGTGAATTTTCTGATGTTGTATAAGATGTACATGTACTCTAAAGGCCTTTCCACATTCCTTACACTCAGAGGGTTTCTCACTAGTATGAACCCTCCGATGTACAGTAAGTTGATAGCAACTAAAAAAAACCTTGCCACACACCTGACATTCATAGAGTTTCTCACCAGTATGAATTCTCTGATGCTGAACCAGCTATAAGCCAGTACCAAAGTCCTTACCACCCTCCTTACACTCATAGGGTTTCTCACCTGTATGAAGCCTTTCATGTTGAACAAGGTATGAGGCTTGACTAAAGGCTTTTCCACATTCTTTGCTTTCATAGGGCTTAACCCCTGCATGAATTCCCTTATGTGCTTTAAGAAATGAACTAAGTCTAAAGGCCTTTCCACATTCCTTGCATTCAAAGGGTTTCTCACTAGTGTGAAAGTAAGCTGTCCATATACAGTAAAGGCCTTCTCACATTCCTTCCACTCATAGGATTTCTCACCTGTATGAATGCTCTGATGTTTAATAAGGGGGGTAGCTAGTGCTAAAGGTGTTCCCACATTTTTTACATTTGTAGGGTTTTTCACAATATGATTTCGCTGATGTTGAACAAAGTATAAGAAGGTACTAAAGGCCTTTCCACATTCTTTACAGACAAAAGGTTTTTCACCAGTTTGAATACTCTAATGCCAAATAAGCTTTCCATGCACTATGAAAGTTTTCCTTTCATTCCTTACATTCATAGGGCTTCTCACAGTTATGGGTTCTTTGGTGCTGAACAAGGTATGAGCTACTATAAAAAGCTTTTCCACATTCCCTACATTCATAGGGTTTCTCACTAGTACACAGACTATGATGTACAGTAAATTGATGGCAACTGCTAGGTCGTCCCACATTCCTTACATGCATTTGGTTTCTCACCAGTATGAGTTCTTCCATGCTTAACAAAGGCTGAGCCTCTAATAAAGGCTTTCCCACATTCCTTACATTTTTAGGATTTCTCACCAACATGCAACCTCTGATGTACAGTGAGCTGATGTCTGTTGCTAAAGTTCTCTCCACATTCTTTACACTGGTAGGTTTTTCCACTAGAACATGTTCTGTCATGTTGAACATGCTTTGAGACTTGACAAAAACTCTCCCCATATTCCTGACATTCACTTCATTTCTCTGTTAAAATTTCTCTGATGCAGAGCAAAAGATGCACATTTTTTCATAGG